AGAAGTCAGAAGATGAGGTAAATTTTGATAAGATTATCATAAAAGTAGATTTGGAAGTGAGAGAGAACGGGAAAAAGCAGGAAGAAGTGGAATCACCTGTTAAGCCAATTGAAGAAAAGACTAAACCAGTGATCAAGTTACCGTATCCATCCCGAGTGGCAAAGAAGAACATAAAAGAAACAAATTTTGAGAAATTTGTCAAAATTTTCAAAAAGCTAGAGACCCACATATTGTTCTTTGAAGCACTCGAGAAAATGCCATTGTACAAGAAATTCATGAAGGAGGTACTTCAAAAAAGAGATCAACAAAAGAGGGATCGATACCCGATGATGAGAAATTGTGTGTAATTACACCCGAGAGAAAAATACCTGTCAATCAGAAGGATTCAGGGTCATTTGCAGTACCATGCACCATCAAAGACAGAATTTTCAAGAGGGTTTTGATTGATTCTGGCTCTAATGTGAGTTTAATGCTATTATCGATTTTCAAGAAGCTCTATATTGAGAAGATAAGTGAGAGTGAGACAAAATTGAAATTTCCTGATTACACCATCAACCAGTCACATGAGATAGCTGATGAGGTATTATTAGAAATTGACAAATTTATTTTCCCGATTGATTTTCAGATCATGGACATACCTGAAGATGAAGAGACTCATATCATTCTTGGTCGATCATTTATGCTGACTGGTCGGTGCAACTTTGATATCAAGACAAGTAATCTGATACTAAAATCATTTGATGAGAAGATAACTTTGACGGTGTTGAAGATCAAAAAGTAGGGTGCAGATGAAAAGAATCAAACTTAAGCTAGTATGATCAAATTAGCAGGAGATATTAGAAGTTTAAAATCACCCTCAGAAAAAGTCTCTAGTATAAGCTCTCAGGTGGCATCAACAAAAACTTCTAAGTTCATTCCAAAAGTCAAGAAGATAAAGAAAAGGAAACTCAATGGTGAGAAGACGGAAGTTGGAAGGGACTGGAAGCACAAAGTGGTTAATGCTTTTGATCTAGATGAGTTTTGGGTTGCGGAAAGGACAAGCAACAAGGTGTGGTAGAGAAAGTACCCCCCATAAGGGGATGAACCATCAAGCCATGCAACATTAAATAAAGTGCTTCGTGGGAGGCAACCCATGCTTATAAAAACTTAGTTTTTCTTTTTGTATTTTTTTTCATTTTGTCTGCAGGTAATAAAAAGGGAGCCTTATTAGTCAAAGCTAGGAGGCAGCAACTGGTGTTGTAGTATCCTTTGTGAGTCACCTTCTCGAGCTTGTTCTGAAACATTGGGGCCAAGGTTTAGTTCAAGTTTGGGGTTAAAGCATAGTTAGAGAAGTATCTGAAGAGGAAGCTCGAGGTTAAAAGGTTCTTACACAAACTCTTCGCATCATATAAACATCAAACAGACTATTTTTTGATCAATTTGAACGGATGTCCCATGTATGAGTACTAGGCTGCTGCGATTTTCATGAGTTTTTATAATGGTCTCTTGATGTCAAACAACAATTTAAGTTTATAGGAGTTTGATAAGTGGTTTTTCTATCTTTATTTACAATTGATTTTAATTATCGTTTCTTTATTTTATCAAGTGTTTTATTTTATTCTTCTGTTTTATGTGTTGGTTGTGTATTTTGTTGTTTTCAGGCTCAGAGGAATAAAACCAAGAAAATAAGTGCGAAAAGTGCATATTATGAGTTTCGAAGGAAGTCTCAAAAAACCAAGCTACAAGGTGTCTGACACGGCCACCCGTGTCAGGAGAGAATGCAAAGCTGTAATTTGCAAGAAGAGGCAGATACTGACACGGGTGCCCGTGTCATCTGACACGACCCGTGTCAGGAGGTCTGGGCGAGATGTGTTTTGTGAGCAATGGAAAGAGGCTAACACGGGTGCCTGTGTCAGGTGACACGGGCCGTATTGGCCATTGACGTTGATTTTGAGTGTTTTTTTTTATGATTTTTCACTATTTAGGACCCAAATGGGTGTTTTGGGCATTTCCGACCGAGACAAATGAATTGTTCACTATTTAGTCATGTTTGAAAGAGGAATAAGGGGACTTTTTTGGACACATAAATAATGGAGGATTGAAGAGAGCAACGTATGATATTCTTGGAAGACAAAGATTTTTCATGAGCCGCAGCGATTGAAGATCATAGCTCATCATTTATCTGTAATGTTTAATCTTTATATCATTGAAATTCTTTTGAACAATATGAATAACTAAACTCCAAAATGTTAGGGGGGTGTCCCTGATTTGATTCTATAATAACTTTGAATTTATGATTTCTTCAATTGCATGGTTTTTATTATTCGATTTGATTGTACAAGGTTTTTACTGCTTTCTTTATCGGACAAATAAGGATTGTTCTACGGTTAACAATTAGCTGGACCACAATTGTTAAGGTTTTTGTACAATTAGACTATAGCAGATATCACCTAGGACTAGGGATACCCTATAGTTACCAGATAACTCTTGATATAACAAAGACTTGAATCTATCAGATATCTCTAAGGACTTGGGATTTAGAACAAATGTTCAAAGGTTTTCCCACTAAGGACTTAAGGGAAAATAACCTAAAGGGTTGATAATTGGCATTATGAACTTGTTGAAGAAATTATGATTCAAGGTTGTTATAAGGAAAATTATACACGACACCCTAGCATACTCCTCATATATGTGAAAAAACCATTTTATATTTCTGCTACTTGTTAAGTGACAATTTCAAAACCAAAACCCATATCAAGTTTTGTTTAATTGAACTACGAATTTAACTTGATAATTACACACAATCCTTGAGATCGACATTCGGGAAATCTCCCTATTATCACAAGAGGCAAAAATAGTACACTTACTATTTTTACCATCAAATTTTTGGCGCTGTTGTCGAGGACTGCCTGGTTATTGTGTGCAATTTGAGTTCAATTAGAATTTTGTTGCTTTGCAACTAAAATTTATTTTCTATTATATTTATATTTTTGTTATTACTGATTTTTTCTAACCTTTGCATGCGAGGAAATCCCTCATCTTAATTTCCTTTTGACGCAAAGATAGAAAGAACCTTTCACGCAAGACGAAGACAAGCTCGACTAGCCAGACTGGCCTCCAATTAAGAGCAATCAGTTCATGCAGACTCAGGTTCAGAATCTGATGAAGAACAACCTATGTCTGAGAATCCACCACCATCAGAGACTTCTTAGGGACTATGTTGGAGCAAATGCTCCAGCAAGTCAGTTGATTATTGTGAATCAACCGATGAATGTTGTAAATTTTCAGCTGCACCCTTCAACAATATTAGTAGAAAGGTTTATTTACTATGGATCTTGACTTATTGGCATTGTAAGGAGTTAAGAATGGATTAAGATCTTTGAGTAATAGATCACCCGCCATGTCCTTAAAGCTAAAATCCTGCACGAATCGCTTAAGAAAATTTAAGAAGATTCTATTATCACTACTTTCGAATTTCAATTAAGTTCTAATTTTACCTAAAAATTTGAGGTATCTTCCGGGCCATATGGTGACAATGTTCTTAGAGAGCTTCCATAACCTTGGAAGCCTGTTTCGCCGAATACTTATCAGCCTTGATCTATCAAGCAAATACACAACAATAAATATACACACTTCTTTATGTCTTTTGAAAGTGAATACTCAAAATTTTCTCGGTGAAGTGAAATATTTGAAGTTATACTTCTGTAAGATCTTCAAGGAAGATACCTAAGCTGACCAGTGAGAGATGAGGCATGTTGTTGTAGAGATGGAATGACCTGTTATGCTAAAAAAGCAAATACACAAGTTGTTTTTTCTTCTAAAAACTCAAATACACCAATTGTATATACTAACCGTTTTGCGCGATTTGCTGTAGAAAATCTTGCTAGCTTAAGCCCATAACTTCAAGTGACTATTATCAGCATAATGAATCAACATTAGATCTGGTAAGTGCCAATTATCAGTTGGTGTTTTATGTGATAAGTGCCTGTTATCAACATGATGCGTCAGTGGTTGATGTAAGCCAAATTTACCTGAAAGAGAGGAGAGGGAGAGGGAGAAATAAGATGGAAGCATAAGGCGTATAGAAGCAAGAACCGATTGGTAGAGAAATCAAAAGCCGTGTGATTTATTATGAATAAGGATAAAAAGTTATAAGATTTTCAATTTTGTAATCGCCATTAAAATTGGAAGTGGAGAAACAGATTGAGAAAATTGAAATGGAAAATGAGGAGAAAGTTTTCAAAAATGTTTAAAGGATTTGAAAGAGAGTTGAATACACAAACATCCACTTGTCATATTTTGAAAAGAAAATAGTTACTTTTCTTAAATGATAGATATTGCTTTGTTTTCCTATCACGACATTGACATCTTTTTAAAATTTAACAGAAAGAATTATATTGACTAACATAACTATTTTTAAAAGACTACTCTATAATATTTATTAGATAAAAGATTAAAATTAAAACTACATTAAAGAACTCCCACACTAATTAAATCTTAAATTTAACTTCAACAATATATCACATACATTTATTTTATTATTTTAATATTTTTTATTTAAACAATAAAACTAGACAAATCATTTTAACATTATTTGTTTTCATTTAAATTTTGATTTCATGTAACAAAATATTTACTTGAATAATCCTTTATTTTGATTTTTTTTAAAAATACAAAAAAAAAAAAAAATATTAATCTAGTTCTAACGTATGGCCATTAAAAAACAAGAAAATAACCCATCGAGAGAGGGTAAGAAAGCTAAAACCCTACGCCTCCATCCGTGTAACAACATCAACAAATCATCTATATATAAACCACTAACCCTAGTTTCCAGCAGCTTCACCACTTCATTAGCCACTCTCGTTTTTCCATTTCTCACCATCAATCCAAACCTCGCTAGGTCAGTAACACGTTCTTTTCCATTTTCTCTTCTACATTCCGTCACCCATTTGGTTCAAGTTTTTAACTTTGTTCTCTTTTTCTTTTGGGTTGTTACAGGTAATTTCATAGGCCAATTCACCATGTCAGATGATGAGAGAGATGAGAAGGAGCTGGATCTAAGTTCTCCTGATGTTGTAACAAAGTACAAAAGCGCTGCAGAGATCGCCAACAGTATGTTCTGTTTCATTCTTTGTAATTTTGTTTATGTTTGGTTCATTGTTTTGTTTTGTCTGATTTCATGTTAAATCCTCTATTTTTTTTTTTACTTGAACAGAGGCTCTGCAGTTAGTTATTTCGGAATGTAAACCTAAGGTCAAGGTTGTAGACATTTGTGAGAAAGGGGATTCGTTCATTAGAGAGTAAGATTGTTTTTTTGTTTGTTTAGTTTAGGCTACTATTTGACATTGTTATTTTTAAAGTGATTTATGGGGTTTGAATTTGTTTCATATGTGTATGTGTGATTTCTGTGTTTTGTTGTTTGTGGTTTTAGCTTATGGGGTGTGGTGTGTTTTGTAAATAAGGCAAACTGGTAATATGTACAAGAATGTCAAGAAGAAGATTGAGAGAGGTGTTGCTTTTCCAACTTGCATTTCTGTAAACAACACCGTGTGTCATTTCTCTCCTCTTGCTAGTGATGAAACGGTTTTAGAAGAAGGGGATATATTGAAAATGTAAGACTCCTTTGTACCATATTTCTTGAAAGGATGTATATTGGTTTGTTTTTTCCTGTTAGGAGATATATAGTAATGGTGTTTTTCGTTGTTTACAGTGATTTGGCGTGTCATATTGATGGGTTTATTGCTGCTGTGGCTCACACACATGTTCTTCAAGAGGGGCCTGTTACAGGACGTGCAGCTGATGTTATTGCTGCAGCAAACACTGCTGCTGAAGTGGCCTTGAGGCTTGTTAGGCCTGGAAAGAAGGTAATTTTATGTAAGGATTTTCATATACAGCTGCACTAGCTAAATCGGATATCATTTTGATTTGATTACTTGATATTTGATTCCTTATTGCTTTGAGTTGATTCTAATTTGATGGGTTGTTGTGATCTATTTGATTTGGTTACTTAACTAGAGTTTTAGTGTATAACTTTTCATACCATGGTGTCAAATGATGTTTAGTGACCTACTTTGTGGTTTATTTCACGTTTTGATCTCTAGCTGATGTAAACTATTTTGAGCTATGGATTAACTCTGGTGATGCTTTTATTGTCATAGTTACACTGATAGAGACATTTTTACCCTTTTTGCTGCTAAATGGTTTTTTTCAAAGGTAACTGTTACCTCTCTTCTGTGATAAATGCTTGTGAATGGTCGTTTGTCTTTGATTTCTTTTCACACTTGACTTGTAGAATAAATGCTATGATGTATTTCATGTTTAATTGCCAGCTATTTAAATCGTCTTAGACCTTTCTGTTTTCTGTCTTATAGTTTACTTGGTTGTCTGTTTTGCCAGTCTGTTCCTTTCACTTTTGGCTGAAGCTTTAAAAAAATGTTATATATCTACTATTTTCAAATTTCTAAATTTGATAAAATAGTCTCTGTATGATGAAGAAGTTATAGGCTATGGATAAAAACCAATGAAGCCTTATATTGTCATAGTTACACTGACAGAGACTTACTCATTTTTAAACTTGTATACACCTCTTCCATGATGGGCTTGGGTAGTATGCCAGGTGGGAAATGAACTCAGCCAATTTGGTCAGTCTTAATGCGATTATGTGACACCATTATATTGTGTTGATATCCCTCCCAGTGCTTGCTCAAATGGAATTCAAATTCTCAAATGATGTGGTTTCCCTAGCATTTTTTTATTAGGAATTTATAGTATTTTTTTGTTGTAAATTTCCGGTGAGCTATTTGTTCACCCTTCAGTAGGTTGCTTGGAGATGTTTCCATGAAACACTTTTTTTATTGCTGTTTTGTGTTAACCCTTGTGATGAGTCATTTTCTAAAAGCTATGGACAGTTGTTCAAATGATGCTTATATGTCATAGTTACTCTGATAGGGATTTTATCTTGCAAAAGTAAATCTAGAGTTTGATTGCTAAATGTTGGTATTATTGACCATAAATATAATGAAAATGTTTTATCATCATTCATTTTTATTGCACAATTTTATAACAATTTTGCCGAGGCAATCAAGTTTGTATTGGTTTTCCTCTTTTCCCCGTTGTCTAAATTGTATTGGCTCTAGCAGTTTAATGCTGTGCTGTTGTTTTACTCAATACACTTGTCTCCTGGGGCAGACATCACATATTATTCTAATTTATAATTAATGAATTGTTTTACAGCTCCCTAGTTGGTTGCATTTCAACTTCATTTGTGTTTAATTATTTTAGAATCTATTGATCATAATATATATGTAAAAATTTGTTCATGACAACTTTGTGGCGGCAATCAAGTTTGTATTGGTTCTCTTTTCCCTGTTGTCTATATTGGTTCTCCTCTTTTCCCTGTTGTCTATATTGCACTTGATTTAATAGTTAAGTGTTGTGCTGATTTTGTAGTCACTACACTTGTCTACTGATGCCAACATAATACATCATTATAGCTTCTAATTTCTAATTTTCAACCTTTAGTTAAAGGGACAGACTAGGACTCCTTAGTTGGTCCCTTGTATCTAATGTGAATCTGTTCATGACAACTTTGCCGAGACAATCAAGTTTGTATTGGTTTGTCTCTTTTCCCTGTTGTCTAAATTAATAATGGCCTTAGTATTTAAAATGTTGTGCTGGTTTTTGTTCAGTACACTTGTCTACTGATGCCAACATAATGCATATCATTAGAGTTTCTAATTTTTAATTTTCAACTTTTAGTTAAAGGGATAGACTAGGACTCCTTAGTTGGTGGTTCCTTGTATCTAATAGTCATTCATATTTGAATCTGTTCATGACAACTTTGCCGAGACAATCAAGTTTGTATTGGTTTCTCTCTTTTCCCTGTTGTCTAAATTAATAATGGCCTTAGTATCTAAATGTTGTGCTGGTTTTTGTTCAGTACACTTGTCTACTGATGCCAACATAATACATCATTAGAGTTTCTAATTTTTAATTTTCAAGTTTTAGTTAAAGGGATAGACTAGGACTCCTTAGTTGGTGGTTCCTTGTATCTAATAGTCATTCATATTTGAATCTGTTCATGACAACTTTGCCGAGACAATCAAGTTTGTATTGGTTTCTCTCTTTTCCCTGTTGTCTAAATTAATAATGGCCTTAGTATCTAAATGTTGTGCTGGTTTTTGTTCAGTACACTTATCTACTGATGCCAACATAATACATCATTAGAGTTTCTAATTTTTAATTTTCAACTTTCAGTTAAAGGGATAGACTAGGACTCCTTAGTTGGTTCCTTGTATCTAATAGTCATTCATATTTGAATCTGTTCATGACAACTTTGCCGAGACAATAAAGTTTGTATTGGTTTGTCTCTTTTCCCTGTTGTCTAAATTAATACCATCCTTAGTATTTAAATGTTGTGCTGGTTTTTATTCAGTACGTAATATTATTCCAATAAATTTCTGAATTTGTTAAATATGAAAAGCTGTTAATGACAACTTTGCCGAGGCAATCAAGATTGTATTGGTTATCCTCTTTTCCCTGTTGTCTATATTATTGGCTTTAGTAGTTAACGCTGTGCTGATTTTCTAGTCAGAACACTTGTACATTGCAGCCAACATTATACACTATTATCTAATGAATGGCTGTAAATATTTGTTAAAAGACAACTTTGCCGAGGCAATCAAATTTGTATTGGTTATCCTCTTTTCCCTGTTGTCTAAATTGAATTGGCTTTAGTAGTGCTGTGCTGATTATCTGGTCAGAACACTTGTATATTGCTGCCAACATTATACACTATTATCTAATGAATTGCTGTAAATGTTTGTTAAAAGACAACTTTGCCGAGGCAATCAAATTTGTATTGGTTATCCTCTTTTCCCTGTTGTCTAAATTGAATTGGCTTTAGTAGTTTGTGCCGTGCTGATTATCTGGTCAGAACACTTGTATATTATTGCCAACATTATACACTATTATCTAATGAATGGCTGTAAATGTTTGTTAAAAGACAACTTTGCCGAGGCAATCAAATTTGTATTGGTTATCCTCTTTTCCCTGTTGTCTAAATTGAATTGGCTTTAGTAGTTAGTGCTGTGCTGATTATCTAGTCAGAACACTTGTATATTGTGCCAACATTATACACTATTATCTAATGAATGGCTGTAAAATGCATGTAATATGATTGTCTATATGGCAACTTTGCCAAGGTTATTGAATTTGTTTAGTTTCCTCTTTTCCCTGTTGCCTAAACGGCTGACTAATTAGTTTAATGTTGTCCGGACTTTGTAGTCAGTACCCTATTGCAGCCAACATAAGATTATTGTAATCAATATCTAGAAATGTGTGCACAAGTAATTGTATAATGTTAACTTTGCTGAGTTTGTTGATTTGATGTGGTTGGAAACTGGTTTAATGTCGTACTATGCTAATTTATTTCTAGAAAGTGACATTCTTTATTATTCAAACTACTTATGTAAATGCCCTTGGTTTTTCTTTTAACTTATTGACAATTGTTAAATGGGTTAGTGCATGCTTTGTTTCTTTTTATGTTAAGCAAAGTTATATAGATGAAAATTTTAGTTAAATGAATTGTTGAAGGCTTGTAATTTTTGTTGTTACATTTATGTATTTAACTAGGCAGTAACAAATTTTTTCTCCCTGGCAGAACCAAGATGTAACTGATGCGATTCAGAAGGTTGCTGCTGCCTATGATTGTAGGATTGTTGAGGGCGTTCTTAGCCACCAAATGAAACAATTTGTGATTGATGCAAATAAGGTTGTGCTAAATGTATCTAATCCAGATACAAGGGTTGATGATGCGGAGTTTGAAGAGAATGAAGTTTATGCAATTGATATTGTAGCCAGCACCGGAGAGGGAAAGGTAGTTGCATTGTATTATAATGTTCACAAATATTACATAGTTTCTCAATAAAAGTGTAGTAAAATTTCTTTCATTTACAGCCAAAGCTGTTAGATGAGAAACAGACAACCATTTATAAGAGAGCGGTCGATAGAAGTTATAACTTGAAGATGAAAGCATCTAGGTTCATTTACAGTGAAATTAGCCAGAATTTTCCCATTATGCCATTCTCTGCCAGGTAACTTGATCACCTGCTTGTTTATTACTTTGGCCTTGTTTGGATAAACATTCTTAAATGGATGCTTCTTGCATAAACACATCTCTTCAACTTATGGAGTTGAAAACAACACCAGTTGCATAAACCGGATGTTTCAATCTTCTCTTTTGGTTTCACTTCAAATTTTATTTCCTTTTTATATAGGGCTTTGGAAGAAAAAAGAGCTCGTCTGGGTTTAGTGGAATGCATGAATCACGAGCTTCTGCAACCTTATCCTGTTCTACATGAAAAATCTGGTAATATTATAAATGCAGTTTTATTTTTGAACATCAATATTATATTGGTGCTGACATCAGTTGCTATCTCTGATAGTGTTTGTCATGCCTGTTTGAGACTGTTTTAATCATGTCTTTTTATTTTTTCTTATTTTTTTTCAGGTGATTATGTTGCACATATCAAATTCACTGTCTTGCTTATGCCTAATGGTTCAGATCGTATCACATCTTATCCACTCCAGGAAATTCAGCCTACTAAAACAGTAGATGATCCTGAGATTAAGGCCTGGTTAGCATTGGGTGTAAAGACAAAGAAGAAGGGTGGTGGGAAGAAGAAGAAAGGTATGTCTCAAGTCTTATGGGTCTGTTGTTTAAGCGTGAAAAAGATATAATTTTCAAGTTGTTTGCTGAGTCTGATTTTCACATATATTCCTCCGCCATGCATAGTAGATAAATCTAATATTCTTTCCTTATTTTATATCCTCACTTAACAAATAAACATTTGCACACTTATATACAACTATGTTTATTTGTCAAATAGTGGCTCAAGATATGGTTATTTATTTTGCAGGTAAGAAGGCGACTGAAGGTGAAGCAGAAGCTGATCACATGGATACAACAAACGGTGCCAGTGCCACAACCCAGGAGCAAAATTGAGGCTGCATAAAAATGCATGCTTCTGATTTCACTTTTGGTCCCTTTCTATTTTGCTACATTTTAAAATAGTATCTGTCTGAAAGTGAGTTTAGTGTAGCATTCTGATAATGTCAATAGGAATTTTCATGTGCACATTCATGTGTTACCTTGACATGAATGCTATGTCTGTTTAAACATGACTGTTGTGGAGTTTTATTTAAAACAAAGTAAATCAAATTTAAGAACAAAACTTAATGTTTGTAGGTCTGTTCAATGTTTGTTTATTCGTTAGTTAACTTCTGAATGGTATTGCAAATGCGATATTGGGCATTTGATACATTCATTTTGTTGTCTATACTATAAGCATTAACTGCAATTTTGGCATAATGTTCTTGGTGGTGCTAGAATTTTTCAAGTGAGTTGCCAAATACCTAGGCGTGTGAGGAAACCCTTATTGATAAATGTCGCACCACTATTTTTTTTTAGGGAAACAAAACACTATTGTTAATAATCTACAAACTTAACTCAACATAATCTAGGAAATCTCTTGGCTTGAGAAGTGTCCAACTTTGTCACAACTGTACGGAGATATTAGTCAAGTCGATCATAAGCTTTGTAAATATATAGTTTTGGAGCAAGATCACCAACTTTCTTGCAGGATTTGCAAGGATTTTAAAAACCAATTTATGAATCAAATTTACATTAGAAATATGGCGTCAATCTATGTTATGGGTTGTTGAAATGATTATGAGTTGTTTAAAGTATAATTCATATTGTTAACATAATTATAGGTTATTGAGATAATTATAAATTGTTAAGAGCATTATTTATATTGTTGAAATAATTATGGGTAGAGATAATTATTTGTTGAGGGAAACTAGAGATTAGAAATTTAGATAAATTAAAAATATTATATTATATATATAGGAATTATATATATATATATATATATATATATATATATATATATATATATATATATATATATATATATATATATATATATATATATATATATATATATATATAACTACTCTATAGTCACATACGTAGGCAATTTGGCCGAACTATGTGAACAAAGTTTGTGTGTTTTTTCTCTATGCTGATATGTATTTGCGTTATTGTTCTAACAATTGGTATCAAATGACGCTTAATCTTGAAGGTACAAAATTCGAAGTGACTTGGTTCGATTTATGAGAAAGGAGGGTTAAGAATTTGTTGGCTCAACGAGGCTTACAAACGGCGCCTTGTGATGAAAAATCGATAAACATCGCAACCTTTCTTGGAACAAGATGAAAAATAACACTGCAGGTTTAATAAGACTTTGCGTTTCCGATTACGTGATAAATCATATCCTGGATCTTATAACTCTTAAGCATGTCTGGGATAAATTGGAAAATTAGTACATGTCCAAGATGCTCATGAACAAATTGTTGCGAAACAACGTCTCTATAGCCTGAAGATGCATGAAGGAGGCGATTTGTAGGCTCAGATCAACACTTTTAACAATATCCTCGCTAATTTGACACATCTTAGTGTGAAGGTTGACGATGAAGATAAATCTATTATTTTGCTACGCTCTTTAACAAGCTCTTATGATCTCTTGGTGACGACTATCACATACGGGAAAGAAACAATTATGCTGGATTCTATTTCTTCTACCTTTTTGCAACACACACAACGTCACCAAAGTGTAGAAGAACGTGGAGGAAGTTTAGGTGAATATTTGTTTGCAAAGGGAGGTCAAGATAGTGATAGAGGCAAGAATAAGACAATGGGTTTTGGAAAGAAAAAGAGGTTCAAGTCCAAGGACATCAAAACAACAAAATGTTATGGTTGCAAGCAAATTGGTCATTAGAAGAGAGATTGTGCAAACAAGTTTGACAACAATAGTTCATCAAATGTAGTTCAGTCTGATGGTTCATACAATGAAGAAAATTTACTGTGTTTCATCTGCCAAGTACACTAATGCATGGATCCTTGATTTTTGGTGCTCCTACCATATGACATCACACAGGGAGTGGTTTAACGCTTCTAAATTAGGTGATTTTAGTTTTGTCTATTCAGGTGATGATAAAACTTGTATCATCACTGGAAAGAGGCAAATTAAAATTAGAGTTGGAAAAACGGGCTACCCGATCCCCTTCGGGCTGACCCGTAACAGGTTCGGGCCTTTGGTGGAGCGGTCCTAAAAGCTTGAAATTTAAACGGGTTACAATTTGGTTTACCAAGTCCGGCCCCTTACGGGCTACAGTTATTTGGGCCGGCCCGAATAATATTTAACATTAATGTTTTATTAAAAAAATAATTTTTTAAATTAATTAATAGATCATAAACTACAAAACTAAAATATATGAGTATTGATCACTAAAAAAATATAAATCAATTACATTTATAATATCTAAGATAAAATATCATAAAAAATTATTTTTAAAAAAAATTAATATTTAAGTTGAGACATTAGTAGTATAATGTATTATAAATGTGACGTTAGTAATATAATGTAGGGTTAAGTATACAATGTCCCCCTATCAATAGGGCGAGTTTTTATTTTTCCTCTTGAAGTATTTTTTTTTGTGATTCGTCTCTTATAAAACGAAGATTCCGTTTGCAGAATCCCCTATTCCATATTTGGTTGACTGGGCATGGAGAATCTTCCTAGTTGGCATCTTGGACTTGCTGACTGGATTATTATTGATTACATGTATAAATTAATTGAGAAAAAACAAACTAAAACACTACAATAACTAGGAATCAAACCTGGTATCTTGAAGATGCAAGATACACTTCTTGCCAACTGAGCTACAACATTTTTTTAATAAAATCACAACAAATAATTAATAAAATAAATCCTAATAGTCATCTTCATCCTCACCCGTTTTCGCAATAAAACATTTGCATCTTCATCATCCGAATAGGTAACTTGACCATGAATTTTGGATGGTATATAAGACTCTGTCAAGAATGAAAGTGCGTGCATAGATAAAGCTTCAATCTCAAACTTCACTCTTTTTTCCAACATCATTATATGCTCCAACCTTCATAGAAACACTAACATTAGACACGCTATAAAATCTCAAACCAATAGGAAAAGAAAAGAATATATATATCGTGGAATGTTTATGAATATACCTCAATTGTGGGACCACTCTTTACAAGTAGCATCTAAGCAACATGGCTTCAATTTTTGAGTGTAATATGAATATCAGAGACACCAAATTTATTAGATAAAATCATGTTAGAAAAATATATAATTATTTATCAAATTAATATAAAATAAGAATCAGAACAATTCTTAAAAAAAGAACATAACGTTCAAAAGCTCTTGCTTCTCACGACGTTCTTCTTCCCCACCACGTTGCTACTTGCCATCGCCGACTTCCTCCATTTTTCACTGCTCACAACTATTTTCTTCTACTCTCCAATTGTATTTTTCGTTAAGGTTATACTGTCCTGACATTTCTGTCACTTTGAAACTTCTTTTCAGTGATTCTAGGTTTTGGAATAATTTTTTATCAGTTTTATTGCAATTACTAACCATTGAGCCAAATTTGTAAGTGGTTAAGATATCAAAGCCACAAGGATGATGAAGATACAAATGTTTTATTGCGAAAGCAGGTGATGATGAAGATGATTATTGAGATTTACTTTATTTAGTATTTGCTGTGTGATTTTATCAAAAAACGTTGTAGCTCAGTTGACAAGAGGTGTATCTTACATCTTCAAGATACCTGGTTCAATTTCTGGTTGTTGTAGTGTTTTAGTTTGTTTTTTCTTAATTAATTTATACACGTAATCAATAATAATCCAATAAGCAAGTCCAGGATGCCAACTAGGAAGATTCTCCACGCCCAGCCAGCCAAACATGGAATAAGGGGTTCTGCAAACGAAATCTTCGTTTTTATAAGGGGCGGATCACAAAAAAATACTTCAAAGGGGGAAATTCAAAATTTGCTCTATTGGTAGAGGGACATCGTATATTTAACCCTATAATGTATTATGATTTTTATTAAAATTAACATTAGTAGTAAAATATATTATAAAATGGACATTTATATTTTTATCAAAAAAGAATATGAAGATTAGTAGTATAATGTATTATACTTTTTATAAAAAATAAAAATATAAAATAAAGGGGTTACCCACAACTCGGTCGGGTTAGCCCGGTTAAACATCATACTTTTAACGGGCCGAATTTAAAATCCTGGATAATAAACGGGTTCTAATTTTCTTATTCAAGCCCCAAAATTTTCATGGGCTTTCGAGCCGGCCCGGTTAGTCCGACCTATTTTTCCGACTATAATTAAAATTGCTTTGGATGATGGTGGCGCGCGCACATTGAGTGAGGCGTTAAGTTCCATAATTATTATTTAAGTTGAGATGTTAGTAGTATACTGTATTATAAATGTGACGTTAGTAGTATAATGTAGCGTTAAATATACAATGTCCCCCTATCAATAGGGCGAGTTTTGATTTTCCCCCTTCAATATTTTTTTTTGATCCGCCTCTTACAAAACAAAGATTCTATTTGTAGAATCTCCTATTCCATGTTTGGATGACTGGGCGTGGAGAATCTTCCTAGTTGGCATCCTGGACTTGTTAACTGGATTATTATTGATTACATGTATAAATTAATTAAGAAAAAACAAACTAAAACACTACAACAACTAGGAATCGAACATGGTATCTTTAAGATGCAAGATACACTTCTTGCCAACTGAACGATAATGTTTTTTTTTATAAAATCAAAAAATAAATAAAGTAAACTCAATAGTTATCTTCATCATCACCCGTTTTCGCAATAAAACACTTGTATCTTCATCATCCTTTTATGGCTTTGATATCTTAACCACTTACAAATTTGGCTCAATAGTCATCTTCATCATCACCTGTTTTCGCAATAAAACATTTGTATCTTCATCATCCGAATAGTTAACTTGACCATGAATTTTGGATGGTATATAAGACTCTGTCAAGAATGAAAGTGCTCCAATCTCAAACATCATTTTGTGCTCCAACCT